CGGCGCCAAATTCCACACTTGACGGGCTGGAGGCGTCCGGCTCGTCGTCGGCCGGCGAGGGCGGCGCGCCGGGGACGCGGCGCCGCCTTTTATGGCCGGCGGAAAGCGGCTGAAGGGGAGGTAGAGGCGTGTTGAAAGTTTGCTGCTTTACCTGACTGTCGTCCGGCGCTTGCGTCTGAGGGGGCGACGTTGGCACGGGCGCAGCGGCGGGGCCGTGACGCGCTTCCCGATGCTGCGGCGGAGCTTTACGGTACGGCTTCCTGGACGGCGCCGCGCTGCTCATCCTGGGCCGCTCGCTGTCCTTCCTGCCGGCGCACGAGACGAGTCACGACAAAGTCACAAAGGCGCCGGCGTGACCGTCCGCGGCCCGCCTCAAACGCAAGTCCGCCCGGCTCGCTCGCTCCAGGTCGAAGCCTGTCACAGCTTATCAGTGTCCAACGTGCGTTCGTGCGGCGCGGGCCGCACATTGATCCGGGCATGTTCCCAGAACAGGAAGCGGAGCCGCATTGATCGGAAAGAGACTCGCAGCACACGCACTCATAAACAGATGCTGGTGGACTCGCGCGTCCAAACCGTCCGCGTTTGCTCGCCTCGTGCCATCTTTCTTATTTGAACGAAGGACAAGCCCGACAACTGGGAGCCTTTTCTGCCCTTTGCTTCGAAGAAGCACAAAAAGCGGAGGCACGCGAAAAGCCCTCGCAGCTTTTTTCCATCTGCTACCAGTGCGCTGTTTGTCCTCAGCAGTCAGACAATCCCAGTCGACACCTCTTGACGATCCCGTCAACGTGGGCCATTTTATTGAGGGTTTGTCCCCTGTTCGTTGGAGTGCGCTGTCTGTTTCTTGGGACGATCGAGTAACGATGCCCTCGAGTGCCCCGTAAGGCGCCGATAAATAAGATGAATGACGACGACGATGATGATCGGACCGCGCGCCACCACTGCGACGCGTGACAATCCAAGTTAACGTCTCGCAGAGCCGCAGATATTCATTGACTGCTCGCGATAAGTTGACGATTCATGCACTATTTCGTGAATGTGGAGCGATGCCTTGAGTCCTCATCGCCGCCTCACAAAACACGACAACTGCCAAGCTTTGATCGGTTTTGGAGAACATTTCGGGAAAATGTGAAGGTCACGTGATTCACAAGGCCACTTTCAGGGTTGAATTACGGGTCAGAAGGTAACGTTTGAAAAATATGCCGCAATCTTGGAAACGATTGCAATTGTTGTCGAATTCCCTTTCCAACAATACGCGTTTGGTGAAAATGGACCCGGACGTTCCTGAGATTTCAAGGTTCAAAGGAAGGTTTGGTCCAAATTCAGCGGGCCCGGCTTGCAAAGCGACCGACCTCAAAGTGGAGATGGAGTGTTGGGCCATCCTTTATTTTCTTTCATCGGGACAGCGCTCGTGAATCAACGCAAGAATAAACAGCGGGAACGGGCCGCGGACTCTCGCAACACGGACAGGGACTTCATTCCAATCACTATTGGCTTGCTGGAAAGCGTTCTTAACCATGAGACAACTACAACTTTACACAAGCGTACATCGGGTGCTCGTCAGACGTTGAAGCGGGGGGAGGAGGAAGAAGAAAAAGAAGAAGACCAGAAAGAAGATCTTGCTGGATTCTCACAGGACGGAGCGCATTTGCTGCGCGGAAGCCTTCCCCCACTTGCGGAAGTAAGCTGGAGGCGGCAAAGTCCAACGATTGTTCGGGTCGCGAATGGGCCTGCCTGCCTGCCTTTTCGCATCCGACAATGTGTGCGAGCCTCAAGCCAACTCCGTTCACAAACCATCGTAAAAGCGCCGAGGGAAAGACTCCGTCCGGGGTGCGTGAGCGTCACACTTGGCTTTGAGATGGCTTCGGGGGGGGCTCGTGTTCGTTGCCAGGGCAACATAAGGGTAACAACAGTACAGGACAGTATTGTTTGTTCATCTTGAGCGTTTGAGCGCCACCTTCAGTCGTTCTCCCTCGCTAACACCACGCACGCACGCACGCACGCACGCAACGCAGGGGACGAAGCCAGCGGAAGCAGGCTGCGCCGCGGAGGCGCGACACGGCCTAACCGAAGCCAAAGCGGGTCAAGCGGCCGCGCCGGGTCCGAGCGAGCGTTCGAGCAAGTCGCGTCTCCACGCGACGCGACTCACCTCACCTCACCTCACCTCACCTCCTCGGCGTCAGATCAGTCGGCCCGGCCCGCCGCTCGGCAGAGCGGGGCGGAAAGTTCAGCCGAAGCCGCGTTCTCCGGCGCGGCGGGCTCCGGAGCTATCCCAAGCCAGGAGCGAGCGTCGTTCCTCCGCCGCGCGTGCGGTCGCGCCCGGCGGCCTCGGCGCGAGGACAAAGAGCCGCCCGGCAGCCTTCGAGCGAGTGCGGAAAATCACTCGAAGAAAGTTGAGCGGCTCTTAGCTCGAGCTGTCGCCATCTTCGCCCGCGGGGCATGACGGGTAATCCTCCCGGAATCCCGCGGCCCCCCGCCCCTCCCCTCCCCTCCCTGTTTTTCCGCGCCTCCTCCCACCTCCCGGCGTGCCCTTTCTTGTGACGTCAGACGCACGGCGCCAACGAATCTTCCTTCTTTTTATCATTCGCAACCCGACCCCCCTGTCCAAACGGCGAAAGAAAAAGCCGAATTTGTCGGTGGGTCCTCATCATAAAGTGACATCATTCACCATGGAAACCGGGGACGCGGAGAGCGCTTTGGACTGAGGGGGCAGGTGCGGTGCCAAAACTGGAAAATGAGAGAGACGCTCAATGTTGAACATTTCCTTTTATCGTCCAGTGCGACGGGGCCGACGAGCGGCGAACGGCCTCATGTTGCAAGCACACAAATACTGCAAACAAACAAAAAAGAAAAAGATACACGGCAGAGTTGAAACAAACAAACGTGCATGTAAGAAATGCTGCAAAGGGCCTAACGCTGCAAACAGAGGAATGAGGCACACGTCACGGGGGAACAAAAAGAAATCATTGCAGAAACAAACGCAAGAATTGCTGCAATTAAAAAAACGACAGCAAGGGAAAAAAAGTGAAGCAGCTTCCACGAAACCGGGGTTAGGCCACTCCGGCCCTGCTTGTTTTAGAAGTGACCTCTTCTAACATACCTGATTCAAATCAGATCAGAATCGTGATTCGGTTTTTATGGAGCTCGCGGATGTGACGAGCTGATCGTTTGAATCGGGCGCGTCGCGGCAGGGACAGATGCTTCGCGTGCAAAAATAAGGCACAGTCTCCCTCCGGTGGACACGCCGCGTGTGTGTCCAAAGTGGCAGATGGAGCTCGTCTTCGGAACCATCTGCTCACGCGGGGCTCTCAACTCAACTCAACTCAACTCGAGTGTATTTCTCGAGCACTTTCGAACAGCCATCGCTGCATACAAAGTGCTGTACGCGGAACAACTAACATATACAACAGTATATGTTTCTACAAGGACGGTAGAAAGCACCGAACAGCAAAACCAAGAACAAATGTGAGTCATGCTGAGTCAAATGCCAAAGAATACAAGTGAGTTTTGAGGCGGCTTTTAAAGATGGGCCCGGGAACCTCGGACTCGCCAGACATAGGTGGCTCTTTCGATGAGCGCATCTGGCTCGCAGGTAAAACAAAATATCCTCGCTCGTTTCATCCATCCATCGATTTTTTTTTTTTACTGCTCATTTCCTGTTCTGATTGGATGATACTGGCCTACGTTGCCGTTGCTGTGGAAACAGGTACACGCCCCCTTTTGAATCAACCCCCCCGGCCGTTAGCTCAAAGCTAATCCTCAGCGAATAAGATGGCGAAAAGAAAAAAGGAGGACGAGTTTCGTAGGCCTCGGGACGAATGGACCGAAGGATTTCGCCTTTGTGGAGAGAACGGCGTGTCTGATTTGCAATGACAAAATAGCATCGATGCGGCGGTCGAATGCAGAGCTGCACTGCGACACGCGCCACGCTGCTACGTTCGCATCCAAATGCTGCGCGGGCGGGAGACGGCCGAAAGGAAGCGCGCATGCTACTGAGCAGGGTGCGCGCGAGCCAGCGGCAACTTCGTGGATGGACCCCGCAAGATGACTTTCATTCCGATAGTTTGGCCGGATTTTTAGCAATCGTGAGGAGCGGGAAACCATTCGCATTCGTGGTGAGTATTATCACTAAATTATTTTAAAGAATACATTCAGAGGCTTCTTATACTGACATTTTGGTGAATTCACTTGTAAAATACAGCATATACTGTATATATACATACAGTACAGTGGCGGGCCGTGCGTTTCAACCTTAGGCCTTCAGTGACGTCACATACATACACAATATAGGCTCGTCAAGCAGCTCTTAATTTCAGGAGCGTTTAAAACCATCAAGTATGCATTCACAATTAAGAGCAGGAAACTAAATTTACAGATAGTCAAAAATAAAAAGATGATTTAAAAATACGAAATAAAATGCCACCCAAATTACGCTGTGCGATCTTAAACAAGTCTGTCCAATAAATTGCGCAATGTCGCAGTTTCATATAAGACACCGACCAAACAATAACAAAACAAACTATTCTTTGAAAATAAACAGATCATTTGCATTTTGAAAATCGGCGATTCAACAGCAAATAACTAAAATAACTGACTAACTAATAACTGACGAACAGCTGAGATTGAACGAACTTTCGTGCACGAAGGTGACTACAATGCGCCATTATAAATTGCAGGTGAGCAGATTTATTTGATACACGTTTGTCATTTTATTTCGTTACCATGAATTTAATACTAACAAAATAAAATGACAAGAAGAAAGGTAAAATAAAATTCATTTACTCACCAATGTCGTGCCTGTTCACTGAGGTGCAGATCTACGCGAGTGTCCCCAAACGTTTTTAAACGCACC